ACAGAGGGTGCTCCTGCCAAGGGAATGAAGCAGAGGTTCCTACTCTGACCCCTCAGGCACTCTGGAGAGAACAGGCAGCCCCATGCAGCCTTTTCCTGTCCCAGCCAGGTGACTGCACTTGATTTCCTGGCATGTGTAGGCAAGGAGGACCTGGAAGCGACTCAGAGGGATCCTGTGATGCCATGATGTGACTAAGGGCTGAACAGCGCACAGAGTCAAAAGCAGCCAGGGCATCCTGCAGGAATGTAGTTAATTTGATTTCCCCTTATTCACTGTGCCAATTTAAACAGTGACTTACTTAACTTATGGTGATAAAGAGTCCCTACATTTCAAGCAAACAAGAATAAAACAAAACAAAAACTAATCATTCTAGGTAAACACTAATTCTTACTGATGTCATAACAACTACATTCACAAGGCAGTAAATCTATGCTGCGAACACTTTCACTCACTGCCAGGGAACTACACGCATGCAGATACTAACACGTACCACACTGGTTAGATAGCTGAAAACTAAAAATAACATTTTTACCGTAAGTTGGCTGCATACATGATTCTGAATGTTATCAGAACAGGATACTCCATAATAGACAGATAAAGCAGTCACTAAGCAGTGGAAACTAATCAACTGAATGGCCAAAAGGAAACAAACACAGATATAAATGCCAAACAGAAAGTAGAACAGGATTTTAAAAGACAGTCTAATTTTCTACTATGACTCAACACACAGAAACCAATTACATGAAATTAGAGCACTGCTATACATACTGTATACACCATTTCACTGAAATTACATGTCGATAGCTACATTATCTACACTAAGTGCAGAGAGGCACTGGACATCATGCTTCAACAAAATGTCAAAACTGGTATTAATAAAGTTTTACAACTATTAGTAACTCAGAACTATTCTACCTGCAGTTCCTATTAAGATAATACCTGGTACATCTGATTCAAAGTACAAGAAAGAGAGTAAAACACAAGGATATATCAACACACTTCCTACATATATATCTACTATGAATTTAGACTCCAAAACCTCAGCAGAATAACATGGCCCCAGGGATTTCTGAATAGTTGAAGACATACCCAGTATAAGTCACACTGGGGCAGCAGTAATTTCTATTCGATGTTTGCTTTGTTTTAAATGACAGTCAAGGAGCTAGTAGGCCATAAAAGATTTTTAGTGATATAATTGTTATGAATATTTATATTAATTTATTTTATTCATCTAAACCCAGTTCTTTTTTAATTAATTAGAAATTATTATAGACACAGCCTTAATGTCAGCAGGTATTTGCCTAATGGGAACAGGTGACCATAATAGAGAAGCAACTGCCACTTGCCCTGGCCAAAAGATATAGTGGTTGTTCTCTTTAAAATACATGAGAAAGCAGGAGGTATTTGCTCAGATGCTACCCAGTTAAACTGGTCCCAAAGTGGTGATGTTGGTCCTTTTCAAGAAGGCAAAGGTTGGTGGCCAAATCATGAGCTCTTTCCACAGGCTGAACTCATATACAATGTACTGTAGCAAGATAGACTGGGTACCTGATAACATATTTTTTGTTTATGCAGATCTCCAGTTTTCTTTAGCTGTATTCTGAGTCAGCCAATTATATGTGATCACCTCCTAAGAAGGAATTGCAAGATTTGGCAAAGGTAACACCAGGAAAAATGACAAAAATGAGGGATGATTGCCCAAAACAGTTAATCTAGAAGATTGTTCAGATTACTACAACATTGTTCTGTAATGAACTGCAGCATTAAAGGACATCTTAGGCTGACAGCTGGGCTTGCTCAGCCTGGAAAAGAGAAGGCTCTGGGGAGACCTTAGCGCAGCTCCCAGTGCCTAAGAGAATCAGGAAAGCTGGAGGGGCGCTTTTTACAGGGGCCTGTAGTGACAGGACAAGGGGGAATGGCTTTAACCTGACATTTAAAGGAGACATTTAGATGAGATCTTAGGCAGCTGTTCTTCCCTGTGAGGGTGGTGAGGCCCTGGCACAGGTTGCCCAGAGCAGCTGTGGCTGCCCCACCCCTGGCAGTGTTCAAGGCCAGGTTGGACGGGGCTTGGAGCAACCTGGTCTAGTGGAAGGTGTCCCTGCCCGTGGCAGGGGGTTGGAACTGGATGAGCTTTAAAGTCCCTTCCAACCCAAACCAGTCTGTGATTGTATGATTCTATGATCTTGAAATTCCTATTTGCTTTTTGCATTTTGTGCTTTGTTTATAATTCATTACTAAACATAACACAAAAACATTTCACCCATCCTAAATGTTATAAGAAAACTGTTTTTTCTCCTAAAGTACAAATTGCCTATAAAGGATTATCCCTTACCTTATATGGGTATATAGAAAATCTTCTAAGAAAATATTAGTGTGTCTGTAAAGTACAGATACTAAGTAATTTAGTTCAGTCTACACTGTAGTTTCCAGAGAACAAGTACAAACTCCTAAAACCTGTATTAATAACTAGATCAATATTGAGCATATCATATTTAACAATATAAATATATACGCAGCTTTTTCCGATGCATTCTACAAGTGAGAGTTCACACCAGATCCTAGGAATTGTGACATATTTAAGAAAGAAGCAAGATATGTTGGATGGAAGTGTATGCAATTGTCTTTAAGAAGGAAGGTCAACCTGTAGTCCTCATGAACTCACAAGCCCATACAAACATCAAAATGGAAATGCTACAATCTACAGTACTGACTGCAAAATCAATTTGTAAACACAGTTTGCATCCAGTCTTTGAAAAACTGTAGGACAAAAAAAAATATAAAAGAATGATATAAAAATCCCTGTGAAATATCCTATTTATGTACAAAGCAATATACAGGCACCTGACAATCCAGGTTGTGTGATGCTGCCTATAATGGTTTCCCTTCATGTAATGCTGTGTGCCACAGAGCATCATTAATAACAATTTAAGGACTCCCAAATTTTGGTGATTCATACTAGAGGGATTGGACACTCTGGCATTGATTGGCATCAGCTCCACAGCAGATGCAGTTGGATGTGAAAGGGGATCAAATTTGAGTGAAATGAGAAATCTCGCAAGTCTTTTTGCCTCCCCAAATCCTGCACTTACTTAGCCTGTTGGTTATCTCCATCCTGAACTAGTAGAGACTGAACTAGTAGTTCAGTGGCTCAATCACGTGTTCTCGTTTTTTCAGTGTTTGAAGCCTGGGTTTTCCACAAAACTCATAATTGCAAGTGCACAAACACCTTCTCCATTAAGATTTGTGTCAATCCCACATTGAAGTCACTAGATCTCACCCAGGCAGGTGAAAATGTCTCTGGAAAGGTGGGCACATGCAAGGGATGTTTCCTCAGAGCCTTGTGCCAGGGAGCTCGCTCAAACAAGATGTAAAAGAATTATCATCACCTGGGCATCAGCAGTGGTTTGACTCATTCATAGCAGCAGATTTCAATTTAACTTCCAACATGATCAGGAGGAAAAAATGAGGGAGACACCCATTGTACAGACAGTACTCAGTCTGGGGGACCACAGAGAGACAAGCCCTAGTGCCTATGTGGGGAGAAAGGTCATCAATATGATTGGAGGGAAGAAAATAACTCATCTTCCCAAGAGTGCAGGAAAAGGAGTTTCTACATAGTCATATATGGTGAATTATTGCCAAGGCGAATTGTCCCAGTGGACTATACACCTATCATAATAACTACTATGAAAAATACCTTAAACGTGGCCTTTGAAGTAACAGTAAAAAAATCAAGGATAGTCCTCTGGCTCATAACAGGATAATATTACAGTACAGTTTTATAAAGTGCCCTTCCTTATCCTTCTGTAAATTAATTCAAATGCATCAATAAAAATAGATAATGGAACTTCATGAAATGAGAGATAGTTACATCTTTATATTTCCACAAAAGGATTTTTTTGAGCCCAGTACTAAAGATAAAGCCGATTGCAGAAGTGTATGTCAGAGGTGAGGTTTAATACTGCCTATGGTTTGGGGGATTTGTGCGATTGCTGCTTTGTTGCCACAACGGGGCTGCAACAACACAAGCAAAAGCAAGGAAACAAGAAAATCCAGGCAGTTGTCAGAATAAATCTGTTCAAACACTGTCACTGCAGTTTCTCGACAAGCAGTCTGCTCTTCTGAGTATCTATTGCTGGGAGACTTGAGTCTAGGAGTGATGGAAAACAAATCAGAAATCTATACTATATTCTTTAAAGTGGCACAAAGTTTGGAATTCCATGTGCTTTGAGAAAGAAACGGAGATCCACTGTATCTCCCGGAAGAAATGCAAAAACCCTTTATTTTTGTGCTGAGTTTTAAACTCATTGCTGGACTTGTAGCATAGAAACAATCAGACAAAAAAGCAGCATCTTGACAGAAATCTTTTGGATGTGATAATCAACGTGATTATAAATAGCAGACAAAGACTATTCCCTGGGATGGGATTGTGAAATGTCTTATAACTTAACGGAGCCAGGAAGTGACTTGACCTTTCCTGGAAGCCCATGACTCCCATAGATTTCAGTGGGGTTTTCATGTAGTAAGAGCATTGAAGACACAGGTTTTACTTCAACAAACACAGTTTTTCAAAGACATACCGAGTTTCTACGCCAATTCAGACGGAAAGAGCACGTCCCATAATATGGTTCAAATGGCTTATCTTTAACTATTTGAAGCGTCTTCATCTTTCTTACAATGCTGGTGCAGCCTTTGTCTTTTAAGGGAAGCAATGGAGAAATAAATTCACGAACAAAGTGCTCCATCACTTTCATAGTTTCAATGTTCAGTGTGCTTTAGTTTCAGCGGACAGATGCCAACTTAGCTCCCGCAGTAAATGCAGACAGCAAATGCATAAGCATGTACTTAATTAAGCATGCAATTAACTGAGTCTTTGCCTAGTCTAGACTTATCCATACGCCAGTGTGCTGTCAGCAAGCCAAAGGGCAAAGGATATTGCAGTTGCACAGACAACAGGGGAGGGGAGGAAAGGGGGCAGAGCAGCAAACGAGACGAATGTGCGAAGAAATGTATATCTGTTTAGGAACTACACAGAAAACAGGTCACTATCCATCCACTGTGCTTTTCCTTTAACTTTGCTAGCACTGTGAACAAATGCAAAAGGTTTTCCAGATCCAAATTAGTGCATCCACACTCCTAGCGAAGGTAAAAAGAGACTGGCCAGTAACCAGCATGGTCTGCTGGAATGTGAGCCTTGTATTAGCTGAGGTGGCCAGCCCCTGTGTTATTTTCTGTTTGTTTAGTTAAGTAGCAACCCGGCCCCTTGTGGAATGAGCAAATCAAGAAATGCAAGCCAAGAGTGAGTTACATTTTCCCAGAGAAATGGATAGCTTTTTGATGGTTAAATACAGTGCTGAACCAGAGTAACACTATATTAATCATTCCATCAGGCTAAAAGCAGAAGAGTATACCAAAACCAACATTTCTTATTCTCCCACATCCACATTTAAATAGAGAAATACCATCACAATTATCTTTTGAAACATCCCTGAGTTCCTGTATCTACAGAGTTACTATTTTAAAATCACAGTCAGCTATTCTAGTCCTATCAAAAGACCCAGATTTATTCTCCCTTATGTGGGTGGGGTCTCTCTAATATCGTGACTTCCTCCCCTAGTCTCCATCCAAAGAAGCGTTCTTCAAAGGACAATCTGTCCCAAGTGGATAAGTGTAAGCATATTCTAAGTCTTTCTTCATATGCAATTTTGTGGAGCTGCCGAGTCACATGTTGCTGGCATTCCTGTTTGTTTCCAACTGCTAAACAGTTTCAAATGACAGCTAAAAGTATATGGGCCAGTTTTCTAAAGCTACTTGCAAGGCAAGAAATCAGAGTCACTGCTCCTAAGAAACTGCTTCAGTGAAGAGGATGGAAACTCATCTCTTAATGGGAAGCCGTGCTGTGAAACCTCTCAAGAATACTGGATATAAACCGGAGTAAACACTGTGTGTTATTCTTGAATATAACTATGACTCAAGCCACAGCAAATTTCACTTGATGTGAGCCAGCACCCTCAGAGTAGGTAACATTTTAGAGCACCTACGCACCATCCCAGGCACATTTCTGGCACATAACACAATAGTAAAAATGTCTTTTAATGCAAATTGTGAGAAGCAGCAGCATCCAGCTCTATAGGTTAACTCTGGATATGCCAATACTAAGGAGTGCAGAAATGAGAAGGCAACCTGCCTACCAGTTCTCTGAATATCCTACAATTTTATCCCTCACAAAAAAAAAAAAAAAGAAAAAGCTTAAGATGCTTCAGGAGGCCCCTGGAAAAGGTCTCCACATCTAATGCGTGTTGAAGACCTAGAGAATTCACAGTGGTTCAATATTTGTGAAATTATATAGGCCATTTTGCTTAGGATTGTACCTCTGCCATGCAGATGAGGACAAAATACAATGGCAAGAAAAATACTTCACAACAACAAGTGCTTAAATGAGGGATACTCTGGAAATGGACTTGATCTTGCACATCATTAATCAATCATACGAGTAGCCTGGGCTGGCTAAGGTCTGTGTGCATTTTTGGGGATACTTATATGAATGCAGATGAGCAAAAAGCATATTATGTTTATATTTTAATAGCTTCTACATAGCCAAATACCGCTCTACAGTTAAAGATATTATTCCTGTTTAAACCCATGACAGGTCTGAGCATAGACACTGAATGGCCTATTTCCGTAAACGTTTCAACTGTGTTTTCTACCATTTTTAAGTTCACGCTCATGTTTTGATTCTTTTTGAGAACCTCTGAGAGCTTTCCCCAAAACTGCACAAAAACTTGTTCTGTGGGTGGAGCCCCCCAAGGCCACATGGCTCAGCTTTGCTATAGAACATAGTGTAATGGCATTCATCAGTGTCTAAAAATTGCTGAGTATTAACAAGCACCTTTAAAAACATTTCACAGGGTGATTATTGTGACTGTAATTTCTTCTGACCAGATGAATCAGCTATACTATGCTGACAAACACCACCTCGTTAATTCAAATGCCGTGTGCTCTAAAAACATTTCTCTGACATTAGAGAGTTACATGAACTGTTACTCTGAAAAAGAGAGAGATGTCTATTCAGTGTACTGGACTAATCCTGAAATTCTGCTTTATTCTTCATTCAGTCCTAACTCTGGCCAAATTCTATTAAACACATATGGAATTTGCCTTAGCAATGAATTCAGGATTTAGCCATTCTCTGAAATACGACATATATTTGAAAGATGGCTTTCAATTCATCCTAGATGTCACTGATGATCACATTCAAAACCTCCCAGTTTCTTAGAGTAATGGATCCAGAATTTGCTTATAGCTCATTATCAAGCACCCAATCATGACATCCACGAGCAGTCTTAGTAGTACCTTACTTGACTAGTCCTGTCCACATGAGGAATCCCTCTGACATCAGTGGAGTAGGCTGAATAGTAAGGTGCTACCTGCTTTGATTAAAAATGGAATAACTGAGCCCATGGTATTCTGGATTTTGTACATCAGGCATAGATTTAGTAAAGGAACTACTACCCCTCCAATAATACTGCCTTGTATTGCATGATGCATTGTGGTCAAAAGGCAGCACAGCCCCATCATAAAATAAAGGCTGCACCTGCCCTGGGACAGCTGATAAAAAAAAACCATCACGTGCACATACAAATCTAAGGTCTTGTCTTGATGCTAAGTATTAGCTATACAGATCTAACAAAATGTCTGTGATACTTTACTGACTTCTATACACTAATCTTGCCCCTGGATCTAGGTTCAGTTTAAAGTACAACTAGACATAAAAATACAGTGCTTGTTGTTATTAAAACAAACAGAAATCTTTATGAAGATTTTCAAAAGATATTTTATCCATACTGTGCTAAATAGATCAGGTATGCCACAAGAGTCACCAAAACACTTGAAGGCTTATGTGGTGTTATGTTTCTCCTGTATGTGTGACCCTGAGTCCCTATAGTGAACTGTACTGGCACTTTGATCTTCCCATTTTGCAGCATTGACATTCTCCGTGTCTTGAATGAAAGGGGAGGCGGGTGAGAGCACATTGCATTGCATGGAGTGTTCTCCAGCTGCATCATCCAAACAGTAACCCAAGGGAGACAGATGGTTATGGATCATTGCTTGGCAAAGACACTACAATGACCTGATGAGATCTTTCCTAAGTTTCAGTTAAGAAATTAAGTAAGCTGAAACTGTAGATGTTAAATAGAAAAAAAAAAAGAGAAATCTTCTTGGTTCATGGTATCTTTTGTCAGAAGACAGCTTCAGGGCTTATTAAAGATGGAGCTAGAAATCTCTTCCTTCAGTTTTCACGCTTCCAAGGCTCTTCTTCGACAATACTGAAGTCTGCAGATTTGCCATTGGTTGCCAGTGTTACCTGCAAGTAATTATCATCAACAACTGACTTAAAAGCCAAGGCACTTTGACAAGTCATGAGTTTTACATGGAAGATCACGATATTTACAGTAATTACATACACCATGACTTATTAGATATGTAAAATGTATTTATTCAGAATTCACAATACTCCCAAAGAGTGAAACTCCTGTTCATTTATCACACTGACTAGAAAACATTAGTAGTAGGAAAGAAGTTCCACATTTTCTTAGCCTTTGCTGTAAGAATTTGTTTGGTTTTTGGTTTTGGTGTGGTTTTTTTGTTTGTTTTGCTTTTTTTTTTTTTCAATAAGTGCTTCAGATTCTACACCTTGCTATCTCCTTTAGTTTTCTCTAGATTATTTCAAAAACAGATCAATTTTTTCCTTTTTTTTTTTTAAGGTAGAAATCCATATTTTTTTCAGTGGAATTTGTTAGCAAAGCAGAATAGCTGATGCAGGGACATGAAAAATACTCAAGGCCAGAATAATCATAGAAACTCACCTATAATTATGTCACCTTTAAAGAAATTCAGGAAAAGATATGTTGTAAAAGCACTGTTCATCATACCATTCTTTCTAACAATGTAATGAAAGATTTTACATGTAGTCAGGCCACAAATTCAGAGTAATGCTATGCTTGTCTCACCCAAAATACAGCAAAACATCACTCTTGCTGTGAAGATATCCGCCATTTTTTTTAGGTTTTAAGTATGGTAGAAAACCTATAGTGATCTACCAACTTACAGTATACACTGGCCAATATGTCCCAGAAATGACTACAAATAAATCCATGCTTCAAGAAAGACAGATCCAGCCAAATGGCTTTAAAAATTCTAATAAGCTAAAACGTCAATTTAGTTTTACAAAAGTGATCTAGATCTTTATAACTGTGAAAGAACCTTTCATTTAATTCCAAATGGATGGCTCACTCTTTCCTAACTTACCTTTGTAAGTTAACATCCTCAGCTTCAAATGAAAACTTAAAGACAGAGCTGAAATTCCCTATGCTGGATAAACTGGATGCATGGAAGCATGGGGACATGGAAACATGACAAAATGCACTGATTTTTGAAGCAAAGTCAAGCTTTTCTTATATAATTGAAAGGGGGGGAGCATGCAAATACAGGAATGAACAGCTTATTCAGAAATGAAAATCACATAGAGTCATGTGAAATATGGTAATAAAAAAATACAAAAATATCGTGCAATAACAACCACTCTACCCCCATATAAACTACTTATTAATAATATACATTGACCATGCAAAATTATAAACTACTAGAGTTATACGTGGAATATATTACAGAAAGTAAATAGAAACGGCATGCTAGTAGATTAGCTTTCCCAAATTCTGACCAGAGTTGCAGTAAGCTTTTCAACCCACCAGTGCATTTGACAGGATGAAGAGATGTCCCTTCAGATTTAACAGCTGGCTGTTTTGAAGCACCAAATCCTACACTCTGTTGCCTTTGCTCCTTTAACCCTTGGGAGCTGTGACCTCTCCAACATGATCCAAATGCTTTGCAAATGCCAGCATATATTCTACTCATAGCTTATAAAGTAGACCATAACATCACATGCTTTTGGCAGTTTGCAGACAGACACACAGACAAGACTAATGATCTCCTGAAAGTCAGTCTTGTGCCCAATCCAGTAAACCCTGGCTCTTTTCATGAGTTTTAAAGTGCAAAAGATACCACACTCAGAGCAAATCTAAAACAATGAAAAAGGACAAATACCTTCAGGTAATAAATCACTGGTCCTAAATTTTAATTAAAGGGTGTGCTTAGGAGGATGACCTACCACACCATTAATTCAAGTTTTTGAGGTAAGCTACTACCTCAACTGATGGAAATGATGGAAATGAGAAACTGAAGGAGGAAAGAAAGTGCAGCAAGTATTGCATCAACAGGCTACTACTTTCTAGCTTACTTTTATCTCTGTGCAAATCTGAGTGGAAGGAGATAAAATTATCTGTATTCAGTTCCATGAACCTGATTCAGGTAGAATAGCTCAATTTGTATTAAACTCACTGAAGTTAGCATAGTCTATTTCACCAAAAAACAGTTTTCCAAAAGTTCCAAAAGACATTATCCAAAAAGTGTGTGTATGCATGCTTATTTTAATGAAAAAAATCTTTAATCAAATGAGATCTTTCTTTTCAGTGAGTTTCTTTTTTCCTTCAAATTTTTCTCTTTTGTGCCCTTTTCTCTTTTGTGGACATTATTTTTTAAGTTTTTGTATCATGTATTCTCTTTCCATTTCAAAATTCTTTTTCTTCGTTTTATTTTTCTCATGGAAAAAGAGTGGGTGACGAGGAAGGGAGAGCCATATCAGATCAAAATGTTTGTTTTAATTTTAAAAACTAATTTTATTAAAAACTCAGAAGATTCAGGGGAAAAAATAAGGATAAGATGAAAGGGATTTATGTCCTGAATTCAGTATTAAATTTCCCCATGAATATTCAGGTTTGGCCTGATATTATCTCAAAGTAAGCATTAGGAAAAAATATTCTGAAAAATATTTCCATCCAGGTTGGAGACAGGTCAAAGTGATAGAACAGGAATTACGTTTCCAATACCTATGGTGATCTTCTAATGGACTTAGTGTAGGCATTTATAGTTAGATACTGGCTCAGTTGTGGCAATTGGAAGACACAAGAGAATCTGTCTGAATAAATGGCTGAGGTAGGTTCACTGGCAAATTCACCACATTGAAGACAGTGTACAGGACCAGATCAAGGTATCAATAAATAATAGGAAAAAAAAAAACCTATGAAGTCAGAATTTCCACTTTTTTCTACTCTCTTTCTCCCCCTTTTCAAAAACTCTCTTGATTTTAAACTGTCCTGTCCTAATGGTGGGTGCTTCGTAAATTTTAAACCACTAACCTCCCCAGTTGTTTTCTCATTCAACTGGTGGGGTTTCTCAAGCTCACTTTCCTCTGATCAAGATGTTATTATTACTACTAGTAATCCATGTTAGTTACAGCAAGGATTAGAGAGAGAATACAACATTTGTGACTTAATGACTCAGGAATGATGATGAAAGCAAAGTGTAAGCATGCTGTAGGAGTGCAGGAGCATTCTGACGCTAAAGTGCATTCAACATGTCCATCTCTGAATAGCATATCATCAAGGCAGTCAGCAAATGCAAACACCTGTATCTGAATTGCAGCTATCCTTCATTTGGGTTGGCAATTAAGTTCTCTGTTGCCATAGAAAATTAAGTAAATGTCCATAGAAGGTGATGCCATATTCTCTGTGTGTTGGCATATTCCATAATACGTTGCATCTTGCCTTTTGATATGTAAACAATGTACATGATTTTTTCCCCTCAAACAACAACTTTTAAGAAGAGTGCAAAAACCATCTTTTAAACTGCTCAAATTCATTCAAAATGTCGAGTTCATGGACCTTGTTGTCACATTGTTATTTGCAGAACAATTTGAAAAATACATGCAGGTTAAAAAAATAAGATAAAGCATGCAGTGCTATATACATGTCTCAATATCCATAAATGTGAAAGGTACCTTGCACTCATCTACTATGACTGAGTTGTGAGCTGCAAAAACACATTGGTTTGAGTTGTTTTCCCTATGATTTTTCATGTCGTCATAGATTGACTGAGTCTTGGTCATTTCAATGTCTTCATGACCTTTATGGTGGGAATCAATGTTGTCAAGTTCTGCCTTGGAAAGGTGGTAGACAATGCCAGCACCAAAAGAATCCCCCACTACATTGACTGACGTTCTCATCCGGTCCCTACAAAAGAAGCAAAAGGCAGAGACTGAATAGCATGAAAGGAAGAAAAACTAGGGCATGGCAGCCCTGTTCATGTTACAGTTACTGTATTTATTCCAGGAAGTTCAAGGCATCTTTAGAAGAGAAAGATGGGAGTTTTTGAAGCCTGTTTTCTCAGGGGACTTTTTCAGATGGAGGATGTGCAAACTCCCATGTCCCAGCTGCTCATACTCATGGATTTTGGCAAAGAACTTGTGCTAGGGACACAGCCAAACTGCAGAGTTGTGCTTGACAAATTTCTCCAGCTTCTGGAGCTGAAGTTTTCAATGTCAGGCTGCCAGGCTCACATCACTGCCCTCGGTTTAATGAGAACTTATCAGAGCACTGAAATTAATGTAGACAAGGGGAAAGGATTTTGGACCCTGAAGACTTCATCAAAGTGTTCTCATTTCTGGGACAGATTAACAAATGGCCTCTCCCTTTATTCTCAGTGAACCAACTACAGGTTAAAAAATGCCTGAAATATCTCCATGAAGCTCAGGCCATCAAAGCTCCTCTCCCGGCACCATCTTTGCAGATGGTCATCTGGTAGCGTGGCACCATGCCCACTCACACTACCATATGCCAGACCTTGGCATATGAGATGACCAAAGTGGCCTACAAAATGATGAGCCTGTGACAAGTAACTAGTCCCCTTTGTTGTAGGAGGATGACAACAGAGGTTCCCAAGCTTCATTACAAAGAGATATATTTGTTGGCACTTCCTATACAGGATGCCATTGGACAGACATACCATCTTTCTCCTGTCTTCTTTTTAGAGTGCGGCTCAATCTGTCAGCAGTGAACCCATTGCTGTGGATTCTCCCTGATCTCACAATTCTGCCCCAAACCTGCCCCAAATTCTGCAAAAAATGAAGATCCTACGGAGCACTGCAGGACTATGGGCTCCTGCTATCTTTCCTACTGACCATGTATTGCACATATTGAAATCATTTACAATCTAATTTGCCTCTTCATATCTGAACTAAACAAGACTCCTAAAAACCTTCTGACTGAATTTTGAGCTACTGCAACTACTAAAACTACTCCAACAACTATGTCTAGCTTTTTCAAATAGGTCAGGGAAGTGATTACACTGATTAATTCTCACAAGTATATCCACGAAGACTCATTTACACAAATGGCAGGTTGAACAGTGTGGACATTTGCCAAGTGTCAGAAAACCCAGAATTTAGGACCTCATTTCCCAAGAGAGTGACTAATTAGTAAACACCCTTTCTAATATTTTTGGTATTAGATTTGTGTGACATCTCATTTTCCTGTAGAACACCAAGGGAAAAGACCAAAATATATAACACCCAAACTGAAAAACATTAGTTACACATGCCTGTTTATGGCCATACAAGATTTTGAGCCCTTTTTAACATTCTTTTTCTCAGTATCTGTAAAACTGCTTTTGCCAGCTGTGGAACTGCATTTCTTTTTAAGTTTCTCCTTTCCCTCTCTACATTATCATGCTTATGTGTTTGAAGTTCATGGTATAATATCTTAGTTGAAACAGCTCTTTTATATGTTTTTGTCATCAAAAGAATACCTCGGAGGAAAAAACTCCTCCAATAACTCTCCCCAAAACCAAACAAACCAACAACCCATAGGAGGAAATCATCCTTCTAGTTTGGCTTCACACAGATGAAATGTGTGAACCACTTCTGTTCCATGCCTGTGAAGGATGCTTTAAACCTGGTCAGAGCGGCAGAAGAGGAGAAGATGAATTTTTGAGTGTAATTTTGAGTTAAGACAATCAACACCGGAGCGGGAGAGAGATCAGCGTCCAGGAGCCTCAGCTCTGAGAGACAAGAGCCACCGAGGGAGCCTCAAGTCCTCGACAGGACCTGCCCAGGAGCCGGCAGCTCAGCTGACGCGAGCGAGCAGCTGACTCACACGCGGCGGAGCCTGAAGCAGCGGCACCAGCGCTGACTGGGAGAAAACCTGCCCCAGGGAGCGCGGGCGAGCAGGAGTGCGGTGAGGCAGTTTGTGCGGGCAGGAGGGCGGGGTGGTGAGCACTCGTCGTGTGACCAGGGCCCGGTCCGGGAGCTCTGCTCTGGCTGTCCCGGCGGTGGCAGCGTAGGCACCCAGACAGAGCCGGTGAGAGGGGAGGCTGCAGGGCAGAGCTCGGGGTGCAGAGAGTGCCTGCACTGGTCTGGTGAGGGGAGGGTGCACAATGGGCAGGGCTGCACTCGGTGCTCCCTGGTGGAGGTCCTCCTGCAGCAGGGGCTGAGCTGCGGGATGCTGTTAATAGACTGCGAGATGTCAGGGAAGCTGAGAGGAAGCAGGAATGCTTGCTCCCGGCCCAAACTGTGCAGGGGCCTCGAGCTTCACCTCTACCTCATGAAGGAAAGAAGGAGGCCGTTAACCTGGGAAGCTGGGAATTAGTGACAAAAAAAAACAACAAAAGAAAAAAGAAGGAAAAGGACAACCAAAAGCGAGGGGCTTCCCCCTAAATCCCCTGTCCCCACGCAGAACCGCTTTGCTGTCCTGCAGGGGGCTAATGAGGAAGCGCACTCGAGCCAGAAACAGCCGGCTGATGCACTGCTAAAGATCTCTACTGGTGCTGCTAGGAAAACGCGGCGGGTCGTAGTAGTAGGGGACTCTACACTGAAAGGGACAGAAGCACTCGTCTGCCGGCCAGACCCCGTCTCAAGGGAGGTGTGTTGCCTACCGGGGGCACGGATCAGGGATGTGGCAGAGAGGCTGCCTGCTCTAGTAAGTCCCACGGGCTATTACCCACTCCTGGTGATACATGTGGGTGCTAGGGATATAGATAGCAGTAGCCTGGGGAACATAAAGAAGGACTACAGAGCCCTGGGGGAGGTGGTTAGGGGCTCTGGAGCTCAGGTGGTCTTTTCATCAATTCTCCAGGGTACAGGGGAGGACCTAAAAAAAGCTAGGAGGATTGGCCAGGTTAATAACTGGTTAAAAGGGTGGTGTCATAGTCAGGGATTTGGGTGTCCTGAACACAGGACCCAAGCTTGTAGGCCAGGTCTACTGGGGGCTGATGGAGCTGCTCTAAAGAGCAGTTTTGGTAGGAGGCTTGCCAGACTGGTCAAGGAGGCTTTAAACTAGCTGTGTTGGGGGAGGGGGGCATCATTCCATTCCAACACACCCAGTCAGTTGCCAGAACCTATAATAAATGCTTGGAGCAATGTAGAGATACCCAGCTGCTCCAGCCAATGAGCCGGCTTCATTTGGAGCTCGGCTCAGATGCCTCTATACAAATGCCTGTAGCATGGGGAACAAACAAGAGGAATTAGAGATGTGGGCACATCTATGGGGGTATGATATAATAGGGATCACAGAAACATGGTGGGATGGCTCCTACAACTGGAGTGTTGGAATGGAAGGTTTCAGGCTCTTTAGAAAAGACAGGCCAGGCAGGCGGGGAGGGGGAGTTGCCCTTTACGTTAGGGATAGGCTGGAGAGCATGGAACTCTGTCTGGGGATAGGTGAGCAGTCCACAGAGAGTTTGTGGGTCAGGGTTAAAGGGAATATAGCTATGGGAGACATTACTGTGGGCATCTGTTACAGACCGCCTGATCAAGGAGAACCTGCGGATGAAGCACTCCATAGACAGATAGGAAAAGCCTCACGCTCGCAGGCCCTTGTCCTCATGGGGGACTTCAACCACTCAGACATCTGTTGGAAGGACAGTACGGCCCGGCACAAGCAATCCAGGAGGTTCCTCGATTGTGTAGAAGACAACTTCCTTCTGCAAATAATAGAGGAGCCGACAAGGAGAGGTGCCATGCTTGACCTCGTGCTCACCAACAGGGAAAGGCTCGTTAGAAATGTGACTCTCCAGGGCAGCCTTGGATGCAGCGATCACGAGATGCTCGAATTTGAGATCCTCATGACAGTGAGAAGAGCATGCAGCAAGCTCACTGCCCTGGACTTCAAAAGAGCAGACTTTGGCCTCTTCAGGAACCTGCTTCGGAAGGTTCCATGGGATACAGCCCTAGAGGGCAGAGGGGCCCAAGAATGTTGGTTGATATTCAAGGATCACCTGCTGCAAGCTCAGGAGTGTTGCATCCCAACCAGAAGGAAGTGCAGCAGGAGGGCCAGGAGACCTCCTTGGATGGATAAGGAGCTCCTGAGGAAAATTTGAAGGAAAAAAGAGGCTTATAAAAGGTGGAAGCAAGGACAGGTGGCATGGGAAGAGTACAGGGATATTGTCCGAGAAGCTAGGGACCAGGTTAGGAAAGCTAAGGCTCAGTTAGAATTAAACTTAGCTAGAGGTATTAAAGATAACAGGAAGGGATTCTACGTACGTAGCAAATCAAAAACAGACTAGGGAGAATGTAGGCCCCCTCAGGAAGCTCTCAGGAGAACTGACTACACAGGATTTGGAGAAGGCTGAGGTTCTGAATGACTTCTTTGCCTCAGTCTTCACTGGCAAAGGCTCTGACTGCACCACCCAAGTCTTGGAAGGCAGACGCAGGGACTGTGAGAATGAAGACCTTGTGCCCACTGTAGGAGAGGAACTGGTTTGAGAACATCTTAAAAATCTGAACGTGCACAAGTCCATGGGTCCTGATGAGATCCACCCGCGGGTCCTGAAGGAGCTGGTGAATGAAGCTGCTAAGCCACTGTCCGTCATATTTGAAAAATCATGGCAGTCAGGTGAAGTTCCCAATGACTGGAAAAAGGGAAATATAACCCCCATTTTCAAGAAGGGGAAAATGGATGACATGGGGAATTACAGACCAGTCAGTCTCACCTCTGTGCCTGGTGAAATCTTGGAGCAGATTCTCCTGGAAGGCATGCTAAGGCACATGAAAATCAACAAGGTGCTTGGTGACAGCCAGCATGGCTTCACTAAGGGGAAATCCTGCCTGACCAATTTGGTGGCCTTCTCTGAGGGGGCTACAGAACTGATGGACAGGGGTAGAGCAGTTGATGTCATCTACCTGGACTTGTGTAAAGCATCTGACACTGTCCCACACGACATCCTTGTCTCTAAATTG